GGGTATTGCGGATATATTTTGTGTGATATATTTTGTGGAATATTTGGTATTATCTTTCATATTGTTTCCTAATTTCTAGTAACCTAATTAAGGTATCTCTAGGAATTAGCATTGTATATATATGTTTTGCTCCAATTAATGAAAGGTTAAGCCGTAAGTTTATACAATTCTACAGGAATCCATATTACTGATCCTCTTTTGACAGGGAAGAAACGCAAGTCACCATCACATTCTTCTTCTTCAGATCGACAAAAGCGACAGAGAAGCGAGGAAGTCACTTTGGCACCACCTGGGCAAGTGACTAATATGGAGGTGGATTCTCGGGTTTTAAGCCCAAACTGTGAAGTGAGACTTGGAGATGAGGTGGCTGCACCGACTCAGCACCCAAGTCATATATGAAGCTCATTGCTTGGAATTGTAGGGGTTTTAATGATCCACATGCACGTACTTTCCCATATCTTATGTGGCTTACTACTCACCATTGTCCTTCTTTGTTGTTCTTATCGGAAACTAAGATGTTAGTAGATGATGTACGCTCTTTATGGACTAATTTATCTCCTTCTACCTCTTTTGGGAAAGATTCTATAGGTAGTAGGGGCGGTTTCTACTTTCTACACAAAATTACCTTTTGTGTAAAATACTTGAAGTTAATGGATTAATGAAGTATGTAGTGTTTGTTTATGGTGCTCCTTGTGTTGAGGATAGGGATAGTGTTTGGAATGATTTAGCAAACATTATTTGTGCTTATCCAAAATGTCTTTTGTTGGGTGATTTTAACCAAATAGAACAACTATCAGACAAACTAGGGAGAAGAAGTTCTATTAGGGGGTGGATTCTTTTGTTGCTTGGAGACTAGGGTGTGATATTGAGGAGGTTCCTTTTACGGGGCCAAGATTTACATGGACGAACAAGAGAGTGGATGGTGGATTAATTTTAGAACGATTGGATAGAGGCTATGCTTCTATGGAATGGATTGAGGACTTTCCGGATAGACGAATTTTTCATGAACCCATTGTTACTTCGACCATGCGGCAATTTTGTATGATTCAAATTCAAGTGTGTTTTCTTCTAATAGACCTTATCAACTTGAACAATGGTGTTTGAATATTGAGGAGGTTGGTTATATTATTTCGGAAACTTGGAGTATTGCTTTGCATGGCTCGTCTGCTTATTGTCTTCTTCAAAAGTAGAAAATTGTGAGAAATCGGCTACAAAAATGGTGCCTTAATCACAAAAAGTTTTGGGGGATTTACTGGAGGGGGATCTCTAAAGATCTTGCTACTACAAGTCTTTCGATTCATATACTCATGGATGGTACGGGTTTTGTCCACAATTTACGTGAAATTATTCCGAAATGTCATCTAGAATTCCAATATTGGCGACAACCAATGAAGAATAATTGGATTAAGGAAGGGGATATGCCAACTCGTAGAATGTTCAACCGGGTAAAGGCTAAGAAGAAGAGATGTGAGATTGTTACACTTAAAAATGATGATGGTGTTTGGTTGGAGGGTTAGCAACAAGTTTCGGATTAAATTATCAATTTGTTAAAGGATGTTTATGCTCCTTCTTTGTCTCCTACTCATGGGGAAGCTATTGATCTTTTGCTGCGTGATATTCATTTCCCGACGATACCGGCTTCACAATTGATGGGTATGGATGCACCTTTCTCGATGGAAGAAGTGGAGTTAGCTAAGTTTGGGATAGCGGCTTCTAAAGCTCCGACACCGGATGGTTTTATTGCTGAGTTTTTTCAGGCTCCTTGGATGGTGGTGAAGGATATGGTTTATCAAAGTATCAAACATTTTTTTTGATACAGATTTCTTGTTAAAGGAGCTAAACGCAACTTTGTTGGTTTTATTACCAAAAATTGATACACCGGAATTACCATCTCAATTTAGATCAATCAGTTTGTGTAATACCGTCTATAAATGCATTGCAAAATGCTTGGTTAATCGGCTAAAAGTGGTTTTGCCGGATTTGATTTCGGACTATCAACATGCTTTTATTCCAGGAAGGCATATGGAGGACAATGTTTATCTCTCGTAGGAACTCCTACATTTTATCAATATGCGGCTTAGAGTGACTGAGTTGGCAGCTGTTAAGATAGACATGTCAAAGGCTTATGATAGGGTGAACTGACTTTTTCTTTTGAAGACGTTGAGGGCTTATGGTTTTTTACCGAAATGGATACAATGGATCTCTCAATGTGTTAGTACTGTGTCCTTTAGAGGCCTGATGAATGGAAAGATCTCGGAGACTTTTAACCCGCAATGTGGGTTAAGACAAGGAGATCTGCTATCTCCCTATTTGTTTTTGTTCTGTATGGATGTCTTATCCCGTATGCTCTCTTTAGCAAAGGATCTCAATTTGCTCAAAGGAGTGAAAATTTCACGTCGTGCACCGTCTATTTCGCACCTCTTCTTTGCTGATGATGCCATGTTCTTTTTCAAAACTGATGAAGACTCTTGTGCACTGGTTGCAGATATTCTGGACAGGTTTTGTTCTGCTTCAGGACAACAAATAAATTTTAGTAAATCCTGTGTTAAGTTTAGCCCTTCTGTCAGCACGACAAAGGTGCAAGTTTATAATGATTTGCTAAAATTCTCTCTGGTACAACAATTTGGTACTCATTTAGGGGTCCTGATTAAGTTACAAGGCCGGAAACCAGGGAAATTCCAATACCTTTTGGATAAGATGCGGGGAAGAATTCTTTCGTGGAGTAATTGTACTTTATCGGAGGCTACAAAATTAAGTTTGATAAACCCTGTTTTGTTTGGTATTTCAGCACATGTTATGAGATCTTTTACATTGCCTCTATCCATTGCATATAAGATGGATTATTTGACAACGAGATTCTGGTGGGCGAAAAAAGGGAATCTGCAGGGGATGCATTGGGTACGAAAGCAGGTGATACAATTGCCAAAAGGGATGGGAGGACTTGGGATCCGCTCAGTGTGTGACATGAATGATGTACTCCTATTTTCACAGGTACAAAAGCTATTTATCAATCCCCGGTTACAAGCAGCAAGAGTGTATAATGCCAAGATACGATGTATTTTCAATACTAATTCTGATGGTGGGAGAAGACAGTGTGCTCTACCAAGTATTGTTTCTTGGACTAGACGAAATTTTAATAAAGTTTCGTTAAAGCTCAAGGATGGTTTTGCTTGGAAAATTGGATCGGGAGCAACTATACGAGCTACTAGTGAACGGTGGGTGCAGGGTGATGTTCCAGTTGTTAGATCGAATCAGTTATTGGGAGAGAGTAGACTTTGGATGGTGAAGGATTTGATTGATCAGCAGTCTAGAACTTGGAAGGTGGGGATGGTTCGTGATAGGTTTGAATGGGAAAGTGCGGCACGAATACTAGCAATGGAAATTCCAAAGACGGAGGAGGACGATTTTCGGTTTTGGTTTGGAACGAAATCAGGTACTTTCACCACAAAATCTTGTTATGCTTTCCTAACTATGTGGAATAGGGTTAAGGAACCTTTACACATGAAAGAAACTTATGATTTTTATAGAATTATCTAGCATCTGAAAATTACGCCAAAATTGCATATTTTCCTATGGAAACTGGTTCGAAATGGGATTGCATTTAAATCAAATCTTTTAATTCAATCTTTGGTGAATGATGGGAATTGTGACTATTGTGATAATACTGAGGAAGACACAAAACATCTTTTTGTTTCTTGCTCAATGGCACGATATGTTTGGATCATTTTCCCATAAATATCCGTTACGAAAATAGTGGATCTACTTTTTTATAGTCAGGATGGAAATGAGAATACGATTATGCGTACTTTTGTGGCAAGCCTATGGGGTCTGTAGGTCACTAGATGCCAACGGATTTTTAGAGGCACGAATGGATACCTTAGGGAGCTATTCTTGAACATTTCCGAGGCTATGCGAAATATGGAAGAATTTAATAAGCCAGATGTTCAGGCTTTGGGAACACTACGGGTTTATGCTGACGAAATAGGACAAACTTTAGGTCCACCACCTGGTTTCAATCTAGTTTTTATAGGTAAGGAGAAACAATCTTCTGGTTTGGACTCTTCAACACAAAATTGTATTTTACGGGTCGATGGCTCTTGGGATAAGAGGAGTGGACATTATGGCATAGGGTGGACAGTGACTTTTGGGGATGATGTGGAATTAGAGGGTGGAGGTGATTTTGGTGCAGGCATTTCGGCTATACACGCGGAAGCTTTGCCAGTACTAGAAGCTATTAAGTAGGGAGCTCATAGGCAGTTCACAAGGATAGTCATATTCTCGGATTGTGCTAATCTTATTTCAATTTTGAAACACACGGGCCAAGGAGACATCAACCTTCATTAGACGTTTATGGAAATAAGAAATTTGGGACAACAATTTGATTTATGCAATATTCTCAGGGTGGATAGGGAACATGTTCAAGGTGCACATCGGATTGCTAATACTTGTAGGGCTAGTTTAGTTAAATTCTCGTCTGTTTTGTAGTTATGTTTTATGTTCATTTTGCTGTTGGAAAAAAAAAAAAAAAAAAAAAATTTTTTTGAAACATAGTAAGGAATTTTTTTTTTTTTTTTTTTTTTTATTTTTTTGTTTTTTGAGCAAGTAAGGAGTTAAGTTAAAACGTCTAAAGGTAGTAAATCTACTAGAAGTATTACAGGAAAACTAATAATACTGAAAAATTGAAAGATACTTTCGTCTCATAGTGAGTGTGTATGACATTGTATTCAATAGAATATCCTTAATTACAAAACTGCCACTAGACTAGTGAAATGCCGACGGCTATTACTTGTACTTTAAAGTATAGTATTAGGGACGCGTTTCGGTTGAAGAGTTCATAATAATTGACTTGGAAAGAGTCGTGTTCTCCACTTCACACACAACAATACACAATTCACATCTCTTAGCCAAGTCTCATTTCGTGGTCCCCACGCTACTTTCCATTGACCGACCTTGGCCATCAAGAAATGAAATGTCCACTTTCTAAATTCACCCAAACGTGCTCCACCCTTCCACTCGATCTTAGCTCACTCTAACAACTCAAGTTAAACTCTTCCACCCCTTCCTTTTACATATTCCTTTTTATTTTAATTAATTTTTATTATTTTACTAAAATTAGGAAGAGTATTCTAGTTAAATTCACTAAAACCTTCGGCTACTTTCCTACCACTTGTCACGTAACTTCTCCCAACCTCCCTCTCAACCTCCCTTTATATACATACACCCCTTTCACTCCTTCACTCAACCAAATTCACTCATTTCTCTTCATTCATTTCAAAGCACAAAAACAACCAAATACTTTTACAATTTCCACCCTTTTTAATTTAATCAATCTTCCATTTTCTATATTTTTTTAGATATGGCACTTGAAGCTCTTAACTCTCCTACAACACCACATGCCCCTTTCAAATTCGAGGAGCGCTCCTTTGATCATTGGGTCAAGAAGAAGCGTTCGAAGCGGTCTCGAAACCAGATGTCGCCGCCTACCACCACCATCAACACCACAACCGCCATCCCTGATTCCCGTCTATCCGAAGAGGAGTACCTCGCTTTTTGCCTCCTTATGCTCGCCAAAGGCGGCGCACCGCCTAAAACTGAAGTTCCAATCATAAGCGACACCAAGCAGAGCAATAGCAAATCACTTGTATATAAATGTTCAGTATGTGGAAAATCTTTTGGGTCTTACCAGGCTTTGGGAGGGCATAAAGCTAGCCACAGGAAACCCGTTAGCGAAGACGAAAAGCCATCAATCACAGCCACCTCCGCCGCCGCCACCACCACCACCACCATCTCCACCGCCAGTGGGAAGACACACGAGTGCTCGATTTGTCACAAGTGCTTTCCCACCGGACAAGCGTTGGGAGGTCACAAGCGGTGCCACTACGATGGTAGTATTGGGAGTGGACCAACCAAGAGTGGAAGCAGGACGGCTAGTGGAGTCACGGCCTCTGAAGGAGTCGGGTCTACTATCAGTGGCGGATCTACGCAGCGGGACTTTGACCTGAACATGCCCGCTTTGCCTGAATTCTTGTCCGTTGACTTTTTTAAGAATAGGGGGCAGAGTGTGTTTTCAAGGGATGAGGAGGTTGAAAGTCCTCACCCTTTGAAGAAGCCTCGCCTTGTGTTGACTGGGGCAGAGCTGTTTTGAAAAAATGATTTTCTAATTGTGAAAATATTATTTTTACTTGTGTAGGATATTGGATTAATTACTTCTTTGGTGTAGTACATTTTATTTATTCTTATTGGGGTTAAGTTTAAAAGACTTGCAAAAATTTGGTGTATAAATTTGTGTTAATTTTCTCTGGTCTGGTGTATATTATATATACTCCTGTTAGTATATAATTCTGGCAAATGATTAAGCCAGTATTGTTGGGAATTGGGATGTAGATGAAGTCATGTAGATTGCACTGTAACATTATGAATTCAGTTAATACAATTTGATTGATTCTTTTAATTTATGGTGTCTTTAAATTTGTTATATGCATGTTTTATATGCACCTATTTTTTTTTATATGTTTCAATCAAACATTCTACTAAGTTTTCAGTGTTGCAGTGGTTGTATAGCCTTACATTTTACTTATGCAACCACTAAATTTAGAGAATAGAGATCAAAACAACTTTTTTACAGTATACTTGAGGTTGAGACCACAATGCTACAACCTTCAAATAAATCAAATTTGTTAATAAGTCGTATGTCATAGCAAACGTTTTAAGGTTAACCGACTGTGGAAAAAAAGTTTTAATATCTATCTTATATAGTGTATGGAAAATGAGAGTGAGGGATAACTCAAGTGGTTAAAGCTTCCCTCCCGATTCCAGGAGATCTTCGGATAGATTCTCAACTCCGCCCTTGTGGCTCTCTAAACACCAAAAAAAATATAGTGTATGGAAATTTTTTTGAATCTATTTTAGTAATGTAAACCAAATAAGTAAATAAGGAGATAAATCAAATCTTTTTTATTTTAAGCAATTTATTTTGTTATTATACACATACACGAAGAAAAAATAAATTACTCCCTCCGTTTCAATATGATATTCCCATATGGAATCAATCACATAAAATAAGAAAAGAAAAATATTTGGAATCTAACATTAAAATAAAAAACAATTCATAAATAGTTTTGCCTTATTTAATTTTTATTTTTTTTATTTTTTTAGAAAACCGTCAACTATAATTGCATAATTCAAGGGAATAATTTCTATACTTAGAGTCATGTCATCAATGCACAATAAATTAATTTAACCAATCAGAATTTAATATGTATAAAATAGGAAATAAAAACTAAGTTAAAAGTGGAATACATTCAATATGGGTACATCTTTTTGAAACGCCCAAAATAGTATATGAGACGAATAAATTGAAACGGAGAGAGTATTATTGTATAAGATAAATTAGTTTCAATGATTGATTTTTTTCCAAAAAAAAAAAAAAAATTCAATCAGGGACACACCATAAGAGAACACGTGTCATCGCCGGTGTATCTTTTGGTATATATTATTGATTATTAATTGATTCTATATTCTCAATGATAAACTTACAAGGCTCTTTCAATATAATATGTTAGTATGTTACCGAGGTTAAATTAATTATAGTTAAATAATAGACTTCAAAAATGTATCAGTTTCTAATAACAATGCTAAGGAGACTATACTCCATAGCCAATGTAACCAATTAACATCAATTATTGATCACTTGTGAAATTACAATATTTTTTGCTGAATCTAGTTCATAATTAATTTCAATCAAAACATTATATTACGGCCAACTTGATTTCAAACCAAAAATCCTGAATAACCCCTAAAATGCAAGTAGCAAAGTTACTGTTCATTTGTCAACACTGTAGCTTAGCAATAGTACTCTCCTGGTTATACCCTTACTTGGTGATGTGTTTGTTTGCTGCCACTTATTCGCATCAAGCTAATTCATTTGTGCTATGTCAGTTGTTTGTCTTTTCTTTCTGTTCAACATAATTACCCTACTCACCCTTGTTGCGCCGCTTGCGCCATTATTTTCTCTCTCCCCTCCCCTAAAATGTAAGTAGCAAAGGTACTGTTCATTTCTCAACACTGTAGCTTACTAACAGTCGCCCAATTATACCATTACTTAATGATGTGTCTTTTTGCTGCCACTTATTCCCATCAAGTCATCTCGTTTGTGCCACGTTAGTTATCTGTGTTTGTAGACACCCATTTGTGTCTCCCCAAAACCAAACCCAGTGATAAGTATCTTTAACATCAAATTATAATCAAATGAAGTGAAAGTGTGGAAAGTCTAGTGTTGCGGTTAATTTTTAATTCTTTTCTTTCTCTTTGTTTTTGAAAACCCATTTTATGAAAATAGCCAATACAGTTTTGTTTGGTCCATGGCAAGGGTCCAATAATATTGTAGTTGGGCCTGGTTCAAAAAGAGCTTTCCAACGATATATTATAAGCCCAATTCCGATGAATAATGAGAAAGTTACGGCCAAATTACTAAACTGGGCCCGATTTTATTCTTATATGCGGCCCAATAATCTAGAGGAGGGCCTATTTTGATTTATCATTCCTAATGCGATTATGATTGATTATAGTCTTCTGGAATCTTCTAGAAAGTTCTTTTAGATCCTAATTTGATTAGCATTGATAAATTGACTTTTAATAGTTTTAATTAGAATAAAAGAAGTGTTTTTAAGGAAATTACAGTTTTACCCTCTCGTATGTTTAAATATTATCAAAATAAGAAAACGCGTGGAAAAATTGATTGCAGCGCCGTACGGCACTCTGTCGCCTAGCGACACGTCTGGCGTCTGGCGACAGGCGCGTGTTTGGCGATAGCGTCGTGTTTTATTCTTTTCAAAACTCTGATTAGGTTTTTATCATATCCGGCAGATTTTCTTTATAAATATCCTCCTAAAACCTCCGTTTTTTATCATCAATTTTCATCAACTATCACCAACTCTCATCAAGAAATCCTTGATACTCTCTTTCTCTTTTCTAAACTAGCTTTTTTCAAACAAAATTTCGCATTCACAACATCTAGACACACCTAGCCAAGTTTGAAGTTTCCTTCGCCCTAGACGTGAAAGGTTTGATATTACTGAGGGTTTAGTCCCAAATCTCTATTTCAATTATTTAATTTAATTGTTTTATTTTATATTTTCCTTTAAGTTACTAACGTGTGTATTTTGTTATTAGAAAGAGGTACGAGGCATCCAAGTAAGTGCTTTAATTGTTTTATTGATATTATGATATAAAAATCATGCTTAGGTTGTTATTTTGCTTCCTAGTATCATATTTAGGGTGATTTGCTTATATTAATTATGATTTCTATGATGCTTCCTATTTCTTTCCTGATAGCATGTTAGTATCATGATAGGGCTATATATTTGATGTTTATTGTTTAGTGACATGCTAGGGTTTGTTATTAATCTTGTTAGTATCATGCCTAGGATCTTTCTATTAATATTACGCTTTAACATGATTAATTTTAATTATTATTATGATTATTATTATGTTGCTTGATGCTTATTTATTGTTATTGCTTTGATCACACCTTTTATGCATGTGTAAAGAGAATTTGTACTTGTAATCACGCTTAATACGATAATTAATAATCTTGTTTAGGGTTAATATGATTAAAAATCAAGTGATCACCAATAATAGATTTATTTGTGCATTAATATTCAACCAACATAGATTAAACAGGTTTAGGGTAAACCTAATGATTGCATGTTAGTCAGAAAGCGCACATGAATACGAGAAGAATAAAGTAGAGGCCTATTATTAGGGCATGTTCAATCTCTTTTAGTTTGGATTTGTACCTTCATCCCCGAACTTCCAGTCTTGGTTCCAGACCTATTGGAGTTAACGATCTTCTGAATCGTTAAGGGGTGTAACCTTCACCCTGTGAACGGTTTACAAGTTCCTAAAACTTGTTGGAGACTCTTTTTCTTTAGCTTCCTTCCTTTTGGACACCACCATGCTTAAGTGTATGATCACAGTGGGGTTCACGTTTGGGGTAATGCTTGAAATATTCCCTACAGTTTTTTGGCGACTCCACTGGGGAGGATTTCTATTTTAATTCCTAAAATTTATTTTGGCAATGATTTAGAATGAGTGGATGAGACTTGATTTGGGTATTTTTACCCGGTCAGGTGGCCTTATCAGAAATTGCCACGTGTCACTGGTAAAGGTGCCATCTGGACCATTGAGATGGTGACACGTGGTGGGCGAACATTCTTCTGTTCTAAAATGATTGATGATCCAGCATGGACCATTAAATGGGCGACGCTTGTCACCCTAAAAGATGCCCATAAACCTTTTGGGCTCAGTGACACGTGTCACTTAGGCATTGCCTCTGGAATGACGGCCTTCAAGGGCCCAAACCTTGAGGCGCCGTTTTGCGGCGTGACCTAATCCCTAGGTCACCAGATCCTAGGGAGGGCACACTTTTCAAAAGGACCCTATAAATAGGGATTGTTCCTACATTTATGACAACACATACACGTAATACGAGACAACACGCCACTTTCACATTTATTACAGAGCTGTCGTTTTCAAGGAACGGACAACACTTTACCTGAGCTTGGAATTCGAGCAATTCGAGCAGATAACTTTATTTCCGCACGTTTTACTCTGAATACTTACTAACTTAATCTTTGGAGGCGGACCACTGACCATCCGACGGTCCGTTTGTTTTGCAGGTACAGGCGTCCTTTACTGAATCCAGTCTCAGTGTTGTAACTCTCCCAAGGGACAAAAACCCCCGAAACATTTAGCGCTTTCTGTGGGGAGAGTACCTCTGAAATGGCTTCATAAGTCCCTGTACCGAATCTTGAGGCTAATCGGCCTCCAGAAGACATAGTGGTCCAGACGGACCATGACTCAGGGGACGACGCTGATGTTGAAACCTATGTGGACCCTAACGGGTCCCTCATCTAAAAAACGCATCCGCAGTAGGGAAAAGCGGGAGCGTCACACTAATCAGGCGGGGCCAAGCAAAACTGCTGGTCTGCCAAAAAAGACCTCGGTGCGGACGGGTGATCCTTCTCAGGCGGCAGGATCGACTCCCGTCACTCGAGATGAACTCATGAAAATCCTGAGTAGTCGCAGGGGTGAAATCAAACACCTCGCCTCAAAGAAGTCGCCTACTCCTAGAAAGGAGCAGTCGACCAAGAAACCAGCCCAGGCTGGCAAACAGAAGTCGGTCAGGGACCGTCAACCGACTCCTCATCCTGCCCCTACGGAGAAGGCTCGGCCCCAATTTGACCTTACCAGGCTCCATTTCCCAGAAACGGGCACAAGAGAAGCCATCCAGGACATACAACCGGATGGTAGCAAGAAAACATTCTCTGATTCTCGACAATACATTGAGCAGAAGAAGACCCAG